TGAACACCAAGAATATCAGTGATTTGAACACCAAGAATATCAGTGATTTGAACACCAAGAATATCAGTGATTTGAACACCCACTAGATCGTTGATAGCTTCACATTATCTAGATTACATAAACTCCTGAAATCTGTTACTTGATGCAGAAATCAACACATCGATTACAAAAGCTGCAACTGTTATGTGCAAACTGAATAAGAGTGTGAACAACAACTTGAGAATGTTAAACTTTTAAGTCTTCCCAAGCCTGTGTCCTCAGTGCAATCCTCTACAGTGGTGAAAATTTAACAAAGTATGCAGGCATCAGGAAAAGCTGAATGGTTTCCATATTAGCTGTTTCAGACATAATCATAGTCACCAACTCAGAAGTGCTGGGGTGTACTAATTCCAACACTATTCCTCTAGGCCATTAAAGTTTGCATTGGATGGACAGCAGTATACAAAAACACCTTCTGTATGGTGCATTAGCTACTGAGTTATGAAATCTTGAAACAAGGCAATCGGCAAGTGAGATAAGAAAATTATGGACATTGTCACCTAGTTATCAATCACTGATGGCCATGATCTTTAGAGACTGGCTGGAAGAGCTTTGCAAGGGATGAGTTGATTTGTTTGGGTAGGATAAGGATCATGCACTTTATCAGCTTACTTGTCCTCTGCACCAAACACAACAGGACTCTGCTATGCCACAACACAGCACAAACTATAATCTTACAAAAGGAAAGGTTGCCACTTGTACCTGCCTGGAGGATGATGGCAACGCATTCAGACATTTCATGATGTATTCTGCTAGTGACCATGCTCCTCATTTGGAATGCCTGATGTATACTTGTGGTATGGCTTTAAATCCAAATGTGTTTCAAGGAAGGATCACCGGACCCAAAATGTTAACTCTGATTTTTTCTTCACAGATGCTGCCAAACCTGCTGAGCTTTTCCAGCAACTTCTGTTTTTGTTCCTGATTTACAACATCCGCAGTTCTTTCAGTTTTTAATCGACTATATATTATCAGTACTCTGTCAATCTTCCTCTGGAAAGGTCAATTTGGTGTACAGTGAGTAGTGCTTCATATCTAGTATTAGTTGTATTTTGACTAACTACAGATAATCGTCCTTTGGAAAGGTTTATTTGGCATTAAAGTGGTTCTAAACTGACACTTAAAATAACGGAAGTTAAAAACAAAACTAAATCATTTTTATATGGCAGACTGTGCAGTCCTATTTTTGAGTGAGAGCCTGGTGAACAATTGATCAGTTAGTGTGGAGGGAAGAGATGAGTGATTGGAATTGGCATTTTACACGCATGAAAATAAGCCTATAAGAAAATACCAAATTGATGATATTATGCTGTCAAGCAGCAGGAAGCTAACTAGTTCTCTGCTGTAAAATGTCACATTTTCAGTTAACTCCAACAGTGCCCTTGCACAACTAAGGTTTGGCTTCATCTACCTTCACCATCGGTTGTCTTCATTGATTTTAAGTACAAACTGTTATTCAAAGATACTCTACGTATGTGATTTAGACCTTTAAATTTGGTGATTATCTTATATATTTTAGATATATTGCTGACTAAAACTACATTCTAGTGCAATTTCTGAGGCATACATAGATATATACCTTCCTATATAAAATTATGCAGCTGTGCTACTAGATTTGAATGACAGCTTCTGATCCATACAAATTAGGAAGGCCCCAAAATTGTGTTTTCCCTGTCTATCTTAGAAGTAGCAGTATGGGTGGCACAATTGACTGAAGTGCTCGGAGTTATTAACTTTTGTGCAAGTGTGTTAAAGGACCACAGAGCCTATTTGTGAAGAATGCACTGAGACTAGGATGCTTTGGTAGAGACTTGCTTGCCACAGAGTTTACATCTTCATTCTAAATATCCCTTCCCAAGTGCTAGCTGTTTTTTTTTTTAAAAAAAGGAATCCAGATTTGATCATTATCAAACAAAATGAAAGTAAAACAACCTTAGGGGCACTGAAAATTAATTCAAAATTTTGAAGGATCCAGAGGAGAATTCTGAATTAAAATGTTTTTGGAAGGGATTAAATACATTATGTATAAATAGCCAATCAGTACGCCACACTTGTTTACCTTATTACCTTCAAATACAAGGTATTTAACATTCATCACCAGAACCTATTAGATATTAACAGACATCCCTCTTTTTCTCCAAAATGAATTAATATGCAAACAAAAGATCATTCATAAGAAAACATTATGTAATGCCTTCAACATACTGCGTAATTCCAATGTGCAAACAAAAAAGTCAATAAGATTACAATGAATACTTGTATTCTCAAAATTCATATTCAACAATTTCTTTGAACAAACTTATTTTTGTAAAATAATCCAATAGCTGATGACTTGTACTGACCATTTATTTTAGAAATTTCCTTTCTTTCTAACATTTGTTTTATACTTGACAGATCATAGAGGATAGCTGGAGGAGGCCATTTGGCCCTTTGAGCCTGCTCCACCATTCATCACCATCATGGCTGATTGTCCAACCCAAGGTTTCTCCCCATAACCTTTGATCCCATTCCCCCCAAGTGCTTTCTCTAGTCACCTCTTGAATGCATTCAATGTTTTGGCATCAACTGCTTCCTGCGGTAATGAATTCCACAGGCTCACCACTGTGTGAAGAAACGTCTCCTCATCTCCATCCTAAATCGTCTACCCGAATCCTCATGCTGTGATCCCAGGTTCTGGACACACCCACCATCAGGAACGTCCTCCCTGCATCTACTCTGTCCAGTCCTGTTAGAATTTTATAAGTCTGTATGAAATCCCCCATCATTCGTCTGAACTCTAGCGAAAACACTCCCAACCTAGTCAGTCACTCCTCATATGTCAGACCCGCCATCCCCAAAATCAGCCTGGTAAACCTTTGTTGCACTCCCTCGAAAGCAAGAGCATCCTTCCTCAGAAAAGGAGACCAAAGCTGCATACAATATTCTAGGTGTGGCCTCACCGAGGTCCCATATAACTGCAACACATGGCTGTTCCTGTA